GTGTGTCTGTGTGTGTGCGTGTGCGTGTGTCTAAGTGTGTGTGAGTGTGTAAAATAAACACACACTTCCTCTGTATAATCCTTTTGGGAGGGCTTCATATCCCACTGATAGACACTAGCTGTGAAACTAGATGCTTATCACCATCCCCAGGCTCGCTCCAAAACAAATACTGCCTGCTGAACCTGTGAAGCTGAGCGGACTCCTTTATTATTTTATTCTTTTTAAATAAATATGGTCCACATCAGTTAGACACACAAACAGGTCCTGACTGCTTTTAGATGTTTAATAAAGCTTTCAAAGGCCATTTGAGTATGAGTATTGTTACACTTTATTAAATATCACAAATATGTACTTTGATCTGGTCATGGTCACACTCATCCTGTTGATTTGAGTTGACACACCAATATATTGGCATACTAGTGTCATGATATATTCTTTAAAATGCAATATCTGTATTAATCCAATACCAATTTCACTGCCAACGGTTGATTCATTTTTGTTTTGACAAACATATGACAAAAAAAAACCGTAGTATTTTACACATGACTTTGTATGTTTGTAAATCAATAAAATCAATCACTTCATCTTGCACATACCTCTCTGGTGTTGAAGTTGACAAAGCAGTAGCCTCGTGGTTGTCCCTCCAAAGGCCCAGACTTATGAAACAGGAAGTCGAACTGTTTCACATTACCAAATTTTTCCAACAACTTCACCAGGTGATACCTGCCGAGAGAGGAATCATGTGAAAGAGAACAAAAAGTTACAAGGAAAACACAAAAACAGAACATAGGAGAAGGAGAAATGTAAAGGAAAACTGTGTTTATTCTAAGTATTTATTCTGTAAAGTAACAGACATAACGGAATTTACATCAGACCTACTCCTATCTCAAAAGATAAGCCTATTCCACAAGGACGTGGACCCTTCTGTGTACCACAAACCACCTTTATCAAGTGCTGTGACACCAACCATCTTATTTTAAATGACACCAAAACACAGGAGGTGGTAATTGACCCGCGGCAAGTGACTGACCATGAAATATTTAGGTGTCCACACAGACAACCTTTTTTACTGGAAACGTTGATCAGCTGTACAATAGACTGCAGCAGAAAGTTTACTTTCTAAGGTGATTGAGTGAGCAGCCAAGATCATGCTGATGTTTTACCGGGTGTTAGATACAGAATCACAGCATGGTTTGGCAACTTAACAGTGCAGCTGAAAAGCAGGCTTGGCAGCTTGCACAAAGTAGCTGAGGATAATAGGGAGGAAAGAATATGAGCCTATACAGAGCCTGTATGAGCAAACAGTCATGAAACAAGCAGCAAAAATCATTGCAACATCGCCTCTTCTCTGAATGCAATCCTCTGCCATCAGGAAGAAGAATCTATGTGCCAAAGTGCAAATCAAACCGACTGAAGTTATCGTTCGTCCCAACTTCTGTCAAGCTGCTGGACTCGCAACTAAATTAATATTGCAATATGGCAATGTGTTAGTAAATTAAACAGCACCATATCACTTTAATTCTATAGTTTCTTATAGTCTATTTTTAAGCTGCTGTATTGTCAGTGTTGCCCGAGATGAATTTACCCTCTGGGTCAATAAAGTTTATTTTATCTTACATTTCCACGATGGTCAACAAAATACACTGTACCCAATATTGTAGCTCAATCCCTCTGACACATTTGCACATTTGCCATTCTACAGTCTGTGAATCTGTCAAGTGGGGCTAATGAGAACGACAGCTTTCTCTGCCTGACACCTTTTTAGCAGCACGCCAGCTGGTGTGGCAGCCCAGTGACAGTAAATCTCTCATTGAGACAATGCTGAGGATACAGTAGCAGGACAATGAGGGAATAAAAAAGAGGAAGCCTCAAATCCCCCCTGAGCACCGAGCTCCGTACAAACAACATCCACTGACTGCATGGAGCTGCCTGGGAGTGTTGGATTATGAATGAACATAGATGTGTGGTCATTGAAAAGCTATGCAGTGTTGTGAGGATTTGTGGGTTTGCGTGTAACTGACCAGAAGCAGCCATGGGAAAAACATTTCTTTAGTGTGGAAAAGAGCAATGAGTTCAGGGTCACCTGCAGACTATGTTCAGCGCTACATTACTGTAAATACCCGGGCACTGATTGATTGTTTCCACACATGCTCAGTGGCAGGTGCTTTTCAATTTCATGAACTGTCAAAGCTTTCATTTATATGTGCAATATTCTTATATTTCTATGTGTAGAGTAAGGGATTGTCGGAGACCTGTTGTCCCATCTGCTAGGCTGCAACAAACGAATATTTTCATTATCCAATAATCTGCAGATTATTTTCGATAAGTGTTTAATCTGTCAGAAGATAAGTAAAGGAAAAAAATAGCTTGGTTTATTGATATTCAAATAATCAAATTAGATCTTCAAACCCAGAAACCCAGCAAAAATATTGCCATTTGAGAAACTGGAACCAGTAAACGTTGAGCAGTTTTGCTCAAAAAATGACTCAAAGGATTAAACAATTATCAAAATTGTTGCAGATTTATTTTATGTTTATTGATGCATTGATTAATCAACTAATCCAGTGGGTCTGTCAGCATATTTAAGTGCAGTGTCCCTCTACCATAAACAATGAATTGGCAGTAGTTAAAGACACTGACCATGACAATCCACAGTACAGACTATATCACCCCTGTAATCCACACCTGTCTGCAAACCAATTAACCCACTAATTTACACAACACATTGTAAATAAAAGCCAAAAAA